GTGAGAGATTGCATCAAAGACATGGTCACTATTCCTAGTCATTTCTTGGTGGTGGGTTATGTCAGCTAGTGGTAATGTAGGCAGTGCATAGGTATCATAGCTGATAAAGCCCAATTTGGATTATAGATTATAATACAAGAAAATAAGTCCTAATCCAAATAATTTATTATTGTGTGACAATGCTGTTGCCAAAACGTCACACACTAATAAATTATTTGGATTAGCACTTATTTTCTTGTAAGGTATCATAGCTCAAGCAGTCGTGTTCTACTTGCGGCTGTGTGATGGTAGCTAAAAGTGTCACATTGTGGCAGCACAAGCGAAAGCACCACTCCTATTTTGTGTTAGATATTTGTTTTTCTTGTAGAGATGATATAGTCATTGTACATCTGCATTGGTCTGATAACCTAATGATCACAAGTCACTGATGTAAGCAATAAGCTGTCTTGAAGAGTAACACGTTCTAAACACAAAGTAATAAGACCATTAAAACATGCTGTGGTAAAATTTCTCATTCAGTACTTTTGTCTGAAGATGGTAACAACGCTGTTACCGAAATGTCACACACTATTTATTTATTTGGTCTTATTACCTTGTGTTTATAATCTATAATCCAAATTGTGCCTTATCAGTAACATGTTCCGTTATTTTTAAAAAATTTTTACAGAAATGAAAGACAATGCATGGTGTGTACCTTTTGTTAATCTAGAATGTACTCTAAATAAGGTTCTAGCCCAAAAGCAAACAATCATAAAGAATTTCTTTAAAGATCTTCATATTTTGTGGAAACTTGATTTTTAGCCTTTTTTTTTGTCTCCATGACCTTGTATAACTTACAATGGGATAATAACTTTAAAAAAACTTTTTTTTCCTCTGTAATTATTCAGTTAGATAAAATAATATCTAGAATTTTTTACGCTGTATTGATGCAATTTTGTCCCTCACTAAACGTCAATCATATGTGAAACATTATTTTTTTTCCCATTATCTCTAGTACACATGGTACAGGCCATGATAATCATATGGGGGTCGGTGGAAGGATGGTCTAAACCGTTGGTTTTCGACCACTACGACCCAAGTTCGATTCCCACATTGGGCACTTTTTTATGTTTAAAAAAAAAATCCTTCAATGGCCCCCGATTCTTGCAAAAGTCCAACCCCACCAGCGAGTGCAAGTAACCAAACGGGGCTCTGGCACATTTGTAAGTGCAAAGTCGAACTGTTTTTCACATGTGTAGATATGTGATGCACTTACAGTAAAAGCAGTCGCCTACTTCTACCCACCATGATTATCATGGCCTGTACCACATGTACTAGGGATGAGCAAAAAAAAAAGATAATCATGATGGTAAGTAGTTGGCAATTGCTTTTACTGTAAGTACACCATATCACATATAGAAACCAGTTAGACTTTTGTTCTTACAGATGTGCCAGAGCCCTGTTTGGTTACTTGCATTCACTGGTGGGAGTTAGACAATGAAACATTCTTAAATGAATGAAATGCCTCAATAGTATACAGTAGAACCTCCATGAGAGGACACTCGCGCTAATGGACAGACACCTCTCTATAAAGAACACTTTTCATTTGTAAAATGACCATTTTTACTAGTTAGCAACTCTCTGGTAAGAGGACACCTCTCTCTAAAGGACACTTTGGCTCTGAAATTAGGTGTCCTTTACAGGGAGGTTGTTCTACTGTATTTCAATTCTTTTTATTATTAAAAATATATTAGAACATTCTACGATCAGGTCTAAGATGACAGCCAGTTCTAAGCCTTATTAAATTTTTTCCTTAATAAAGCTAAAAAATGAAGTAAGTGCGAGACTACTTGTTTCACTAATAGATCTTTAACTCCATACCTAATGTGGTGGTGGTGATTATCTCCATGGTTAAACCAATTCCTGAAGTCCATTCTGCAATACCTAATGTAAATAAATGGGAAAAATCTGATTATCAAGATATGGTGCTCCATATAGTTCTTTTTATCTATTCTAAACACAAGACAATAAGATCTAAATAAATAGTGTGTGACGTTTCGGTTAACAATGTTACAGAAACGTCACACCCTATTTAGATTTGGTCTTATTGTCTTTTTTGTTTATAATCTATAATACAAATTGTGCTTTATCATTTATTCATTCTACCAATTACTCCACCATCCTACACTCTCATTTTTATTTAAGTCATAGAAAAACATTTAAAAAATATAAATTAGACTATTTCAGCATTCAACCTATGCTCACTCACAATGAGAATTCAATTATTTGGAACATTTTTTTAATAGAAGGTCACATTTCAAAAATAATATAACTAATGATTATATGTATTCAGCAAGACCCTTCTATAGTGAACCCCCTAATGGAACTTTTGGTTCACTATAGCCACGGTTTGGGTATATGTTTTTTTTTTTTACCTTACAAAATTTCTAGACCGTATAATTGAGGTCATAAAAAAATATTTTTTTTTGTTGTGTCATTGGCCCATTATTTTTTTAGCCTATGTTAAACTAGCTAGATATAAAAGACTTCTAAAAGGGCATACTAACACATACAATAGTGGCAAAGGTTGGGGTTGATTTCTCTTTGTAGAAATTTCTAACAACCTTCTATTTTTATCTCTCATATTAGAAAAGTGGAATTTTCTTATTTCAACATGTTCTCTGAAATTTTGCCAGCGTTGTTTCACTTTGAAAAGCTTTGATATTTGCTTTTTCTAGTAATAGCTTTTTTTACGATGCCTTTATTATTATTTTTTAAAATTTATTTCGGAAGCCATTTTTTTTTTTTTTTCTATTTCAAATTTGAAGAATGCAAAGATATTATATTTAATAATTAAAACTATATTGTGTAACAAATTATATAAAATGTGGAAAAAATAAAATGTAAACAAACAATGCTGCTAAATTTATTGTTTTGAAATAGCGATCTGTGAGCTGAAATATGTTCAAAATTTTGTTTTAAAAATCTTTTAATTGCAATTTTAAGTTCATTATAAGCCTAGTATTTAAAATATAATTTATTATTTTAGGACTTAAAATTAGGTATGTATAGGGGTCTGTGGAAGGATGGTCTAAACCGTTGATTTTCGACTGCTATGACCCAGATTCGATTCCCGCATTGGGCACTTTTTTATGATTAAAAAAAAAATGCTCCAATGGCCCCCGATTCTTGCAAAAGTCCAACCCCACCAGCAAGTGCAAGTAACCAAACAGGGCTCTGGCACATTTGTAAGTGAAAAGTCAAACTGCTTTTCACATGTGTAGACATGTGGTACACTTACAGTTAAAGCAGTCACCTACTTTTACCTACCATGATTATCATGGCCTGTACCACGTGTACTAGGGATAAGCAAAAAAAAATTGGGTATGTTATAGGGGTAGTTCATTATTAAAAAATGGAAAAGTTTGTTATGACAATGATATTTTCAATGGAGTGGAATTGGGGATTACCTTTGGTTTGTTATAAGGGAAAGTTGGCTATATCCCGGGTTCTTATTAGCCGGGTTTTACTGTAATTGCTTAATGTGGATCAAAGCTTATTTAAAACAATAAAAACTTGAATCTTTGAGGACTTGTCTTCTTCTTTCTTATCTCCACTCAATCATATCATGGTATCAAGCTTGTAAAACTTGTTGATGGTGTCTGCTGGGGAAGAGTAGAGCTCATCAATGGATGAGTCAATACAATCAATAATGTGTTTGAAGACTTGTCTTCTTCTTTCTTATCTCCACTCAAATCATATTAGGGTATCAAGCTTGTAAAACTTGTTGATGGTGTCTGCCGGGGAAGAGTAGAGCTCATCAATGGATGAGTCAATACAGTCAATAATGTGTTTGAAGACTTGTCTTCTTCTTTCTTATCTCCACTCAATCATATTAGGGTATCAAGCTTGTAAAACTTGTTGATGGTGTCTGCCGGGGAAGAGTAGAGCTCATCAATGGATGAATCAATACAGTCAATAATGTGTTTGAAGACTTGTAAATATTTATTATAGAGACAATGATGATATAATGAATATAAACATATTTTGATGAGACAAAGGCAGGGATGTACTACTCAGATGGTTTATTTGGTCCAGTCCAGGAAGGTCGTTAAGTTCTGGGTCTCACCAGGCCGGTTGTAGGAGGGGTTGGAGCTGTGGTTAGATATTTTTCAATCACCAGGTCGAAATCCAAACAGGACGAAGATTAATTTATTACCGGCACGTTGTATTTAACACATTACCGTGAAATGGTGGTTAATGGTCATCTACAATTTATACCCTTCATCTCTGTGGTGCCTTTTCTCTGATTAATATAATAAAAAATAAACAAAAATTAAAATAATTTTAATGGTCACGTGTACTATCAGTTGGCTATTTGTTGACACACAACAATAGTTACATGATACTCTTTGAAGCATATTACTATAAACATAATGGAGATTTAATATTTATCTTGATTTTTGTGCCAGTTTTTGCTTGTAATTCCAAGGAAGTTTGAAATAGTAAGTGTAGGAACTTTGAATAGTATGTGACTGGCAGTTAGACACATGTCTCAGGAGCAGACGTCTACATTAATGATATGGATGGTTGACCCTTCCTTTCTCTTGTTTCATGATTCTTCCTTTGAAACTCCTTCTTCTTGGTGTGTTCTCAATCCACAACTGCTCAAATCATTGTAACCTGTCAAAAATTAATCACGTAGACAGTGAACCTCCATGAGAGGACAAAGGACATTTTCATTGTCAAAATGACCATTTTTACTATTTAACAACTCTCCGGTAAGAGTACACTTCTTCATAAAGGACACTTTTGCTCTGCAACTAGGTGTCCTTTACAAGGAGGTTCTACTGTGTATTTTTTATTCACTGTGTACTGTAGGTCTAGTAGTCTTTCTATTATCTACTTATATAATTGCCTTATTCTGTCTGTGTGAAGTTCACTGTGTGAAGTTCACAGATAGATTTTGGTCAGTCATCAATTCTGTCATCGTTTTAAAAAATTAAAATATTAAAAAAAGATGCCGAAATCCGGGATCGAACCAGGGACCTTTAGATCTTCAGTCTAACGCTCTCCCAACTGAGCTTTTTTTGGCTTATTTTAGTTATTTCTATAGAAGCTTCTATCTTTATAATTATGCATCTACTTATATAATTGCCTTATTCTGTCTGTGTGAAGTTCACTATGTGAAGTTCACGGATAGATTTTGGTCAGAATGGATAAAAAAAAAAAGTGTCAAGGGATGGGAATCGAACCCACGACCTTCCGCTTACCGGGCAGATGCCATGACCACTAGGCTACCCTGGACATATTTTTCCGTTCATAAAGTTAATATAAAAGAAAATTCACATTTTTATTTTTATATTTTCAAGACACACACAGTTTGGGGCGGGACGTTTCACAAGAGAGACATCCACGGCGCCAATTTATAATTGTAACGAATAGTATTTTAATTAAAACGTTTTTAAAATATATACGCACTCGGGTAAAACCCGGGCGTTGCCCGGGCCATTCGTCTAGTAATTAATAATTGACCAGGTTGTTCCCCCTCTAACCCCAGGCTGTGTGTGCAGGTGATCCTAATGGGACATCTGGTATAAGATGATGGACTTTCAGAGTGAGCCACCCATTGCTCCTGGCGTAGATAACAACAGCAGCCTGGAGGATGCGGCCAGCCGGCGCTGGAGTGGGCTGGATGACATCCTCTCCAAGGACTCCTCAAGTCTCCTTCCCTCCGCCAAGACTCCGCCGGCAGAGAACAACAGCTATGGGGCCTATTCCTCCACCAGCACTGAGACCAGCTTCATGAATACCTTTACCAAATTTGTGGAGAATGTGCCTGGGTTCTCCAGTGACTCCGAGGACGGGGCCAACTTCAGACTGCTGAAGGGGAACAAGAGCGAGCCCCCGCCAGTCCCGCCCCCCAGTGTCTCCAGCTCTACTTGCAGCTCAACCCCTCGACCTGTCGCTCTGGTCCCCAAGACTCAGGACTCTTCCTCAGGCTCGTCATCCTCCTCAGAATCAGACTATGAGGACCAACTCAGGAAGAGAACCAAGAAGAAGACCAAGATGCACCACCACAAGAAGATCAAGAAACTCAACGGCAATGTCCTCAAGAAGCTGAGCAGGCAGATGGACTCCACCTTTGGCCTCCCATCGGAGAATGGAAGTGGCCCTGCAGAGAACTCTCAGCCCAGCCCCTCCAACAACAACACCTCTGAGGATTTCCCAGAGAAAGTCAAGAAGAAGCTTGGAAGGCCGACACTGGCTGAACAAGCCAGGAAGAGGCAATGTAAGTGTAAGTCTTTAACCTTTGTTTAAAGTACCTTTTCTCTTTAGAAAGCTTAATGTAATTGAGAGGATATTCCCGCTAAAGGACACCTACCCCTCTATAAGTACAGTTTTCATTGCCAAAATGACCATTTTTACTATTTAGCTGCTCTCTGATTGGAAGACACTTAATTATATATATACAGTAAAATTTTTCTATAGCGAACCCCAATGGGACTCCAATAAAAGTTGCTACCTTGGTGCCCCATTCTTGAACAAGTCCTACCCCTCCAGATCATGAAAATTTCCAGATTTTTCTTGGACATGGCAACTGCAAAATTTACTTACCTCTTTCTATGTGTCACACAGCCCCTACATATCATGGCATGGTGACAACCTTTGTGTGGAATGATAAACAAATACTGTAGACCTCTCTGTTAAAGCCACCTAGTTGCAGAGCCAAATTGTCCTTTTAGAGAGGTGTCCTCTAGAGCGAGTGTTCTATCATTGAGGTTCTACCCTATATAGATTGTCAATTTTTATTAACCATACTTTTTTAAAAAATATATATACATATATTTTAAAAAATACACCCATAGACAAAACTTAAGGAAGTGGAAAGTCTTTGATGTCCCCGGATGTCTTTTTTTTTTTTAATAAGGAGACGAATCAATTTTGTTCACATTTGGTTATCTTGTGTGTCTTCAATAAAGGTCAATGTGTATCAAATATCTTTCAGATTTATTGTCTTAATCCCAATATACATTCTAAAAGATACATCTTCCTTAAGTTTTGTCCATGAGTGCATACATATGGTAATTTAACTTAATGCCCTATATATCATTTGAAACCACAATGAACTCATGTTTGCTCTATCAATGAATGGCAGAACTCTCTTTTTTTTTTTTAACAAAATCACACACTCTAAAAAAAATACATTATTTTTATTTCCGCCACTATTTTTATGGATTTTAGTATTTTCAAGTTCTCTTGTGCAATCTTTTCAATATTCCAATCTTGTTATTAAATATTGAGGTTATACAGTAAAACCCCTCTATAGTGAACCCCAATGGGACAGAGCTTTTGGTTCACTATAGCCACGGTTTGGCCATTTTTTTTACTTTTCAAAATTTTTAGACCGTATAATTAAAGGACAGCCATACACACTGGAAGAGGCTTCCTCTTAATAGTGGTCACTTTGTTTTAATTCCCTTAATTGACAAATTTCCTTACATTAATACTGAATAATAATAGAAATCATTAGATGATAGGTTCTTCTTATCATTAACATACATGTACCTCTATGTCTAATTTAAAAATCAAGACAAATTCTAGACAAAGTTTTATTAAATATATATTGAAAAATATAAAATGATTTTAAAACATCTCTCATTATCACATTATATAATACATTGTTTACTTGGAAAAATGGCTCTAACACCTTGTTGCTTCAAAGCATTCTTCAAGCATTGCACCATTCAAATAAAGTTGGTGTTTTTCTTCCATTTCATTTTCCCACATATTCTTCTAGGTCTAGATTTCGTTTTTTTTTAAACCTGTCATGCAAAACATTGCAGACTTTAAAATCACCATAGTTAATGGCATAAAAATAGTTTTTGTTTGATCACGGGACCATTTATTTGGATTTTTTTAGCCCTAAAACGTACGATCGCGATCGCGGCAAAAGTTGAGGTTGATTCCTCTTTGTAACAATTTTTAATAGCTTTATATTCTATCTTTTATAATAGAAAAGTTATATTCTCTTATTTTAATATGTTCTTAACATTTTGCCTGTGTTGTTTCACTTTGAAAAGTTCTGAAAATGGCCTTTTTTTTTTTTTTTTTAAAGAAATAACGCTTTTGTTTTTAAAATGCCTTTGTTTTCTTCATTTTGGAAGCCATTTGTATTTTTATATTTCAAATTTAATGGATGAAAATATATTATATTTAATAAAAAGTATAATGTGTTAAAAATTTATACAACATACAGCAAAAATAAAGTGCAAAATTCAAAACAAACAATGCCGCTAAATTTATTGTTTTGAAATCGCGATCCACGAGCTGAAACATATTCAAAATTTGGTTGTTTTATTTATTTTTTTTAATTACACTTCTAAGTTCGTTATAAGCATAGTATTTTAAATAGATTTTATTATTTTGGGACCGAAAATAGGTTCGTTATAGGGGTAGTTCGTTATTCTAAAAATCGCAAAGTTCGTTATAACGATGGTATTTTCAATGGAATGGAATTGGGAATCGGCGTGGGTTCGTTATAAGGGAAGGTTCGTTATATCCAGGGTTCGTATTAGCGGGGTTTTACTGTATATTCAATGTTTAGAACTGGTGCCCTAGCCTCTCGTCTATCAAATTAGGAGCCTGAGGTTTGAATAACAAGAAGGTTGAGGGAGGGAGACACCTTAAAGAATGAAGGGAGAGGTAGACAAAGGAAACTCTGTTTTGATAATCTCTTACAATCAGGAATTAGGAGATAGGGAGAGATGGAAGAGAATGGTACAGAGTGGCCTTCCGTGAGATTGGCTCTACATGACCATCATGAACATGGTCCTAAGCTATATTCCATAAAAAATGTAGGGTATATACCAATCCAATACATTAGTAGAATGGTCTAGAGATTAATTTGGGGAAACTGCTGAGACGGAGTCACTACTAATGAGCCAAGCCCTCTCATTCATTAACATATATCATTGCAGTAAGGAGGGAGTTGGTGGAAAGATGGTCTAAACCGTTGGTTTTCGACCACTACGACCCAGGTTCGATTCCCACATTGGACACTTTTTTTCTGATATAAAAAAATGCTCCAATGGCCCCCGAATCTTGCAAAAGTCCAACCCCACCAGCGAGTGCAAGTAACCAAACAGGGCTCTGGCACATTTGTAAGTGCAAAGTTGAACTGCTTTTCACATGTGTAGACATGTGGTGCACTTACAGTAAAAGCAGTCGCCAACTTCTACCCACCATGATTATCATGGCCTGTACCACGTGTACTAGGGATAAGCAAAAATAAAAAATTGCAGTAAGGTCTGTAGAGATAATAATTAATGATATTATTGAAAAGAAACACATTGTCAGTAAATTTATTTGTCACAAATTTTATTGAAGAAAGTTTTCTATTCTCCATTGGGCACAACCAACACCTTGTTCCTCCCTTCCTTTGTTGGAGAGAGAAAGAGGATTAACCTTCTTTCAACAAGAGCATGTGTGGTCCCAATTAATATATAGTTATCGGACATTAACCCCCCATGCAATATAGGAGTTATATCAGGATGCATTAGTGCGCCATCTGTTATCAAAATTTGAAACTATTATAGACGCGTATGATTCTTTTTTAAAAATAAACAATTTCTACTGCCCTTACTGCAATGCAAAAAAATTATTTTTCCTCCCATTAATTTTTCCATTGCAGTAAGGGCAGTAGAAATTATTTATTTAAAAAAAAAAAAGAATCATACGTGTCTATAATAGTTTTGAATTTTGAATATAGGAGTTGCCATGCTGTTTATTTCTGACCATTAGCAGGTCCCTCTGATCAACCAACTGGAGCCAACCTCTCTCTCTGAGAAGCTTTGGAGGGTTGCCATTCTTAAAAATAAATTTATTGGCTTTAGTTCTGCCACGTGTGGAGACAATGGTAAATAGGGGGTTGGACCAAACAACTCTCTGAGCAAGAATGTTCCCTCTATGAAGTACTTCACCAAACCACACACTATGGGAAAAATTATAAGGCACAATTTGGATTATAGATTATAAACACAAGGTATTAAGACCAATTTTCTCAGAAAAACTACTTCTTCTTATCCGATATCT